AATATGTATTTTTTGTAGAAATATCCATGTCAATACTAATTTCAATATTGAGTGAGAAACACCTCTTTTGTTCCAATAGCTCAATTAAGCCCTCAGATAAATGAGTTATCCTCTATTAAAGCATTTGAGAGAGCCTGCAACATATAAGCGGTTATGCTATAATGAAAAGAACAAAGAAGACATACCGCTTTAGCAACTATCTCAGCAGTCATAGGGACATCAACGTTTGCCTCAAAAAACACCTAGGCCCATTTGTCACTACTTGCATTATCAGCAATGTATGGAATGTCCGCATTCTGGTATCTAGAGCTTCCATCCAGGTTCTGCCACTATCAATGGATACATTACTCTCTCAATTGCACGGCACCTCCTGATACTGCATATCCCTTGACGGTTATCTGCATAGAAAACCAAGGAGTTCATTATGAATTAAAATATTTAAGAGACATGAAGTTTACCTATTTAGTCTAAGGAACAACACATCCCACCAAGACTTTGATTTTATATAATTCACATAAATGAGTATTCAGAAAAATATGGAAAACATTAAGATGATGAAGATGTTCCATAGGAGAGCAATCATATTTATCTTCATATGCAATGAGATCAACAAATATTTGGCTATGGTGGGTTATTTTGTGATATTGGAAATATGGCAATATTGATAATGAGGTGTCTGTATTCCATTCATTGTAGCAAATAACAGAGTAAAAAAAAAATTCAAACACATTAGTCGGAGAATAACAATACTTAATTTCAAAGACAAAAATCGTTCTTTCCTCCAATTCAAACAAGGTATTCTGCACATCAAAAAACTGACTAAAGGTGCACATATCTACCTCCATAAAGTTCCTTCCTTGAAGATTTCTCACTATGTCTTCGGTTTGCAATTTGCTTCTTGGTAGGACAAGTTGCTAGAACATGTCCAATAATAGACTGTATGATGAGTCAGGTTCAATAGGCAAGAATGCCATTGATGTGTGGCTTAGATGGTATAATCCACTCCCATGCAGTGAAGAGTGGGTGTTTCTAGGTCTTAAGTTTTTCTGATCCCAATAAAATAAGGCAAAGGCATTCCTAAAGAAATACAAAAGTGGCTAATTGTTTTTCATCTCAAGTTGCACGACACTTTTTGGCAGGAGCACTTTAGTCATTTTAAAGAAATATATGATTGACAAAAATAAATAAATAAATAAAGAGGTAGCAATCTGTCTCCTTTGATTCACATGTAGAACTGTAGCCAAAAAACTGAGTCCCTTGATGATTCCAGAAAATAAATAACACCTCATATGCACAGGATCAAGTTGAGGTTGACATATTAGAACTAGTAACCAGGTGCAGCATAAAGATTTAATCACCCATGAATGTTTATTTATTTATGATAATCATTCATCTAATTGGATACAGCTAGATTGGAATAGAAAACCAAGGTATTACTTATCAATCACAATAGCAATTCTTAATTTCTTAGTACATTGATTTTCATAATGGTTTATTATATATAAACCAAATCAATTGTCCTAAACATTAGAGTTAGAAAATAAACCAAGAGTAACATAACCAACAGGTGACTTGATCAGCATATAGCATTTTCAATTCTTTATCATTTCAAAATAAACATTTTCTGGGTCAGACATTTTAAAACAACAGTTCAAAGACTATTTGGTGACTTGAAATTGTAAAACTAGATCAACAATAACATAACCAATAGGTGTACCATGTAGTGGTTGCCTAAAACGAATGAGGTCAAAATTAATTAAATTACAGAAAAAAAACAACAAGTACAGAAATGGTAATGAAAGAGAATCCAAACCTGAAGCAGACCTCGAAAGATTTCAGTATTTTGCGGGTTTAGAAACAAAAAGAAATCAAGTAACTTGCCAGAAAACATCTTCCATCCTATTGCATAATTTAAAAGCACAATAATCACATTAGCTTGCAATACCCAATGTACAGACCAAACCAAATCTCCATATCACCTTCGCTTGCCAACATCCCCAAATTATATTCTCTGCCTAATAGGTTCCAAAAAACCATGTGTTTTACAAAACAACAATTTATAAAAACACAACCCATAAATAAATAAAAAAAAAATAGAAACCTTGAAGATAGAAAGCTTTAGAGGAGAAAAAAAAGCATACAGTGTATAACATCGAGAAGCGATATGGGGTCAGTTGGGTATTGATCTAGTTAATCTGCCAGCACAAGCAGAGCATGATATTCACTTCAGTCACAGAAAATGTAATATATATATATATATCAAGAGAGAGAGGGAGCACTTTGGGTTCGAAATTGTTGAAGGATCCAAGATGACCTTCCGAATTGCTTGAGTTCATGTTCTAGTGGGAGAATCCTTGACTTGAGACACAGATCTAGAATAAATAACCATACACAATTAATAAAAATTACTTAAGAACAAATTCAACAAAATTGTAAACTTAAGAATGTAACTTACAAAATTCAACCAATTAATAAAATTATTTTTCAGAATGTAAACTTACATTAGAAATACAGATTCCAGATAATCACCAGATTCAACAAAAAATTTTAAGACACAAATTTGTATATATATTAAAATACAAACAAAAAAAAAGAATTTAACACAGATTCCAAAAAGAAATTTTAATTCTTTAAGACAACAGATTCAAATTTTAAAACACAGATTCAGATTAAGAAACAGTATTCAAATTCTTAAGAACATATTCAAACAAAGATTAACACATTATTCAGATTAACACAGATTTAACCACAGATTCCAAAACAAACAGAACAGATATTGTTGTTCCAAAAAAAATCAGATTTTTTCCAAAGAAACATTCATATTCGACAGGCAGAGAGAGAGAGAGATAGAGAGAGAGGCTTACCTGTAAGTCGATCGGCTGTAGCTGATGCAAAACAAACTGTGGATTGATGAGATGAGAAGAGTGAGGGATAGACAGATCAGATCAGAGGACATATCTTGATAACATAATGTAATATATATATAATATAAACAAAAAAAATCAACGATCGGGGCGAGAAGAAGAGAGATAGGAGATTGAGAGAGAGAGTTTACCTGTGAGTAGATCGGCGGTGCGATGATTGGTTTTGATGAGATGAACAACGAGAGAGTGAAGAGAGAGTGATCGGTGCAAGATATACGAACACGAGAGAGTGAGAGAGAGAGAACATAGATGAAGTTGAGAATGAGGCTGACTGAGAGAGTGGGGAGACGAATTTAGGGTTTTTTGTTTTGTTTGTAATGAGGTGAGTGATATGTGATGGAACGGCTAGAATTGAAAGGGAAAAAAAAATAATTAATTTAATGCGGGCGGGTTGGACGGTGCGGTTCAAACTCGTAATCCGCCATAACCCGAAATTTATATAAAATTCAAACTCGCACCATATCTTAATGTGTTTTGACGAAACCGCCCACCGAGCGTGCGGTTCGGTTCGGATAGGGGGTTTGGCGGGTCGGATAAACCCTATGCAGCCTAGGCCTGAGGTAGTGGGCGTAAGGAAAATTGAAAAAAAAAAATAGTATATATATTATTCCTCTCTATCTTTTCAAATTCCCCCAAACTTTTGGCGACCAAAACTCTCAAATTAGTCGCAAAAAACAGGTTATTTCGCCGACAATTGTTTTAGTCGCCAATCTCACCAACGCGACTAAATAATTAGTTGCTAAAAGTAGTAATTGTCGACTACTTTTTTTTGGTTGCTGAAAATAAATTTTCGCGACAAATTTTGGTCGCCAAAAAAAAATGTGACCTTTCCGCGACCAAATTGTATTGGTTGGCAAAAGTATACCACTTTTG